AGGGCCACCGAGGGAGTGTAAAAGAAGATTAGGAGGGAGTTGAGGGGGATGGCTGGAGATCAGATGCAGGGAAATTGACTCGAGGAGAGAGAGACGTGAAAATGAAGAAGTGGAAGAAGAGGAAGAAGAAAGTGATAGGCAGACGCTGTAAAGGAGCAAACACGGGGCAGCTTCAAGTATCATCAGTGAGATTTCCCTGCAGTCATATGGGAAAGTAATGTCATCACCATCTGGAGCTGCTCCTCTCACTGTACTGAGACACACTTGTGCTATAAAGGCCACTCTGGTACAAGAGGCAGGGAAACTTTGGTCACACTGATTCTGATTCATGCTCAATGTTAGGTTCTTATACAGACTGAGCCTTCTGTTCCTACTCTGTTTGAATTTTGTCTGTGTTTGTGCTAGTTTTCTGAAAGCTTAGCGATATGGACGAATACAAGGGCGGGGGGGCAGTGTAATCAATAGTTTAAGAGAGAGGATCATGGGACACAAGGAAGATATTTCAACAATGTCAGACATTTTTAAAGAGTTAAGTAGGACAACGGTCTGCGGCCGCTTTTGTCATCGCTTTTGTTGTTGTCAGAAACTCTCAACTAGGCGCTGCCCTCTAGTGGATGTATTGCTGAGCAACCATACTAATGTAAAGCAGGGGCCGGCCAATCTGTGCTAGCAAGGAAGCGAATGAAACATTTACTTCCTGCTGCGAGGCAAATCGCAGCAAAGCTTTCAAGTTCAACTTTGATGAACGAAATACTCTTTGAGTTTGTGTGACCGTGCCCTTACTACTTTTGAAATGAAAGTATCTCTTTCCGTACCTATCGTCAATGAGCCATTAAAGGGATAAATCACAGAAAAATGAAAACACACTTATTATCTACTCACCACTATGACGATGGAGGGATGGGTGAAGTGTTTTAGTCCACAAAACACTTTTGGAGTTTCAGGAGTAAAGAGCGTTGCAGCCAAATCCAATACAAGTAAATGGTGACCGATTCTTCAGAAGTAAAGAAACAACAGAAAAAAACTTGACTCTAAAATGTGATTCTAAACAAGTTAATTTGCAAAATGCTTTTAGCCTAAATTTCCATTACCGGATGTAGCGATGCCCAAGGGTGCCACCCTGCGCACACCCTTGGGTGAGAGCTTGTGTGCAGTGTGTGCGTTCAAACGTGGCTAAAAACATGGTGTAGATTACATGGTAAATGACTTACGGACACTTGGATGACACCACAGGAGCAGTACGGAGGCATGTTATGGTTTTTCTATGTATGTTTTATGAATTGATCACCAGTTACTTCAATTGAACTGGATCTGGCTGCAACACTGTTTACCCCTTAAACTCCAAAAGTGTTTTGTGGACTCAAAAACTCCACCCACCCCTCCATCAGCACAGTGGTGAGGAGATAAGTCACTTTTCATTTTTCGGTGAACTATCCCTTTAATATGTTTCTTAATTACAATACTGTACTATACAAGTGAAACACAATGTCCCAGATCACAAGATGAGATCTTGGAGTTATGGCTTTTGTTGACGGACTGTTAAAAACTCAAAGTTATTCAGTGAACAGCTGACACCACACAGAGAGAAAGTAGATGTTGAAGCAGTGCATTTTCTGCTTGTTAATCTACCTAGTAAATCAAATTAAATCGCAGTGACCCTTTCATTTTTGCAGGGACCACCGTGAAGCAGCTTATGGTCCCCACTGGGTCCCTGGGCCACACTTTGGCACACACGGATCTGGACTACCACCTGGTCCTGCAACACGTTCTCTGTTGACACAGTCGTGTCAGGACACCGGACAGGCTCCAGCTCACTCACAGGCAAATCCACGTTGACATCCGAGCCGTCCAGCAGCAGGACGCGGCAGCTGATGGTGGTCCTCGCCGTCCCGGCCGCCGGGATGTGGACCGACGCTCCCCCGGTGACCACGGCAGGCGCGTGTACGACCTGCTGCTGATGGGCCAGGAGCAGGGGGTTCCCGGTCACCCCTGCCGCTCCTCCTCCTCCCCCTTTACCGTCCCGCTCGTCCCTCTCTCTCGCCTGGAAGCGGCTCCGGGAGCGGCGGCTGAACGTCCGGCGCAGAAAGCCCATCATCTTCCCGACCAACAAGACGAGGAGGTCCGCGTTACGCCGGGCTCCAGCTCCTGCCGCCGCCGCCTCCTCCTTCTCCTCCTCGTCCTCCCTGGGGCGAGGAGTCACTCAGCAGTCGCGGCGGAGACTTCAGGGCTGCCGATCGGTCCTCAGCTCAGGCTGGATGTGGGCGGCAGCGCGGGGACTCCAGCCGCATACTAATCAAAGTAGCACAGGTCGAGCACCGAGGCACCAACCAGTTGATTTCCAGCGGTGGAGCCCGGTGCGAACGACGGGACTCGGTCACGGAAACAGACAGACCTCCTTCCCCTGTCCTGTCCCTCTCCTGCGCACCTGCTCCCGCTCGCTGTTGCGCACGAACTCTAAAATCCCGGAGAAATCCCGTCCCGACTCAACCCGGAGTCACACCGGGGAGGGAGGAGGGGAGTGTGGTCGCCTCTGGACCGAGGGGAGGCACTGGCCGGCGGGTACTGCTTTCTCCGCGCACCGGCGAACCGAAACTGAAGAGTACACCTCCCAGGTAAAAGTCAACCAGCGGAACTGGACAAACAGCCTGAAGTGCGCCTGCGTAAAAACAGCGCAACAAACTTCTGTTCCTCCCGACTGGACGACCCGCCAGCGCCGGGGAAACAGCGCCACCTGTCTGCGGCTGACCTCGTGGCTGTAGAGTAATAAAGATCATCAGTGGTTTCTAAGTTGTGGTCCGCGGGTTTCCCAGGGATCGTCAAAGGTTTCCAGGAGGTCCCAACTTAATGATGTCACTCTACGACCAAAACATGATAATCATGTTAAAACAAGTTTTAACATGAGTTTTAAACATGTTTAAAAACTGTTTTTAAACACAGCAAAAATACAGAAGTCAAATTCGCCACCAAACAAAACAAATAAATAGATTATTTATTCATTTGATCAAAAATAAAATGAGAATACTGGAATCAGTGGTAAATTATCACCCATGTGTGTTTTTATAACACCGGTACTGACAATTTGAGGAGAAACAGCATATTTCTAAACATAAAACTCCCCCAGTTTCCCATTTCTACCCACCTACACAGAAACAAGGAAGAGCCAAATGGCATTGATTTTCATATTGATGACGAGAAAACAGAAAAAAAGAAACAACACAATTTTATGACAAAGTGCCAAAGCTAAACTCCCACACAGACCGTGTGTCATCATTGTAATTGAGAGATACATATAAACACTCTCCAGGTGTCTCCCAGCCCCTTATACGCATGTTCTTTAAGCTTGGGTAAACCTGCCAAAAAAAGAAAACCGACACCTTTCCCATTGCCAGTAGACGAGTTTGCCTTTCTGTTTTTCCCCCAGTGTCATGTTCATCACTACAAACATACCAAAAAACTGAGCGCAGTCACCCGGGTGTCATGTTTCCGTCACTGTTGATCAGAGCAGGAGAAGATAAAAACCTGTGTATCCAGCAGTCATTTGACCTGAGAGTGAATGCTGATTGTATCCATTCCCATTGCAGACAAAAGCCAGATGTTAGTGAGTGTCCGTGTTTTTTTCTGTTGTAGAATCTGCTGGTCCTGGCTATAATTCATCTTATTATATCTACCAAGGAGGTGGTTTTCTACCAGTATTACGCTAAAACTTCTCAACGGAAGTCCATGAGATGTTGTGGAGGGGTGGGATTCGACCCAAAGAAGAACCCATCAAATCTTGGCACAGATCTGGATCAGGGGACACATTTTTTCATTTTCGTAAACATTGAGAGATAGGGCACATTTTTGAAGTTTTCATTGATTTCTCAGGAAATAATTCACTGATGTTGATTGAAATCTGGCACAATTAGCAAAGTCATGTTTATGAGTTTGTGCTATTTGGTGCACATCCAAATGCAAATCAGGAAGTAAAGTGAAATTAAATGTGGTTTCGTATGGTGACTGTTGAGCCTAGGTGGAAGTGTGCACTCTACTGAGTGTCATTCTAGTTTATGAGTGGGGTGATAAGATTCTGCATCATTTCTCTCAAGCTATTTAAGGGTATTAGTGGGTACATTGTAAATACTATGCACACATTTTACTGAATACTTCTGAAAAAAAGAACCACAGAATAAATATAAACAAAACTTTTAAAATTCTAAATGAATATCATCATCAATAACCTGCAGAGACACTGTAATATACATAGAAATACTATGATTTGTTATAGTGTCCTTAATTTAAGCCAATATTTTGTCATTAGCAAACAGTTTGCTCTCATCTGTGATGCAGAGATAGTTGCAGTGATATGATGCCAGCTTTAGAAGCACTCAGCTGAAGGTTAAATAAGCAGACTGCTCCTCGCTTCAGTGAGCAGCCTCATTCTGCAAGAACGTGTGACAAAACAGCTCACACTGCCTCGCTGTCAGAACAAACGACAAAAGCACAGACGTCAGTAGAAATCAGTGTGTTTATTTAGTGTCGTAATAATTTAAGAGTGATGAACAGTGGGTCTGGTGCTCCTCCGGTGGACAGCATGCAGCGCTGCACCACCATGACCTTACAGTATCTGCGGCAGTGATCAAAAGCCTGCCTTCCTCTCTGACACTGGACAGAGACAAACTACAGATTACAGCGACCCTGTTCGATTCCATTGACTGGGAGGCACAAGTCCAAGGCACAAGTCACTTCATGAGTAGAGGCATCATGGACAGAAATTAGCAGCTCACATCAGTCTCTATGGAGACCACAGCCTCTACAAGCTTAATGCACGATCAGCAAAAACTAAGGCCAACTAAGATTTAAGATTCACCCACTCACATTGAATCTGGGCAGACAGCTGTACTCTGAAGCTAGTTACACTCTCCTATATTTTCCAGTCTGTGTACCAGTCCCACAGGCATGACTGAGGTCGACCTGTTAAAAAGTCATTCTGTTAAAAGTCGCTTTCTTTGAAATTAAGCTGAAACCGTTCAATTGAGTCATTTCTGGTCCTGTTGCTGATCTCAGTTAAGATGCTTTAGATCCGCCATGTTTCTCTTTGTGGACTTGTAGAATGGCCTCGCACACAAACTGGAACTGATACTGAAACACACAACAAACAAAGGTGTATTAGTTATTAGACCACTGCTCCATTTGTAAAGAATAATACTGGAACTACGCAACCAGAAAAAGAGGTTATGTTTTCGTCTGCATTGGTTTGTCTGATAGTTTGCAGAGTTAACTTATAAACATCATAAACTTATATTTCCCCATGTTCATAAACTAACAGCTTGGCTAGAAAGCCATTCGTTTAACGCATGAACAGAAACAAACTAACAACGCACCCCAGAACTAATACCTTTTCACGGTGAGCTTTAGGGCTGACGTGCCTAAAAGTTTAAGACCCATCTAAATTTAAGACAATTTAGTACTTTTTAAGGTCTTTTATCTGTAAAATTTAATTAAGGACATTTCAAGCATCTGCATCCAGCCTGTCAGGTGTTTTAGGACAACTAACATGACTAGTTTTATTGTAATTAGATTAATAATTAGATTAACATATAGAATAGAGACAAACTTGTGCCACATGGATCCTTAATGTTAAGGTTTGTCCTCTGACTTTGCATGTTTCCATGTTTCCATTACTGAGACACAAACATATGAGGGGGAAACCTGCACATCAGCACAAACAATCAGAGGGATGAAGCCTCAGGGGCTGGATCCTCTTTCAAAATACGGGTGATAGTGGTAGCAGCAGTGCTCCTTGAAGCACGCATGTGACTGGAGGGCTGCCATATTCCCAGCACCGCCTCCTGTCAGAGCAATGAGTAACACTTTCCTCTCCCTCGACAACCACCGCTGAGGTACCACAGAGCGCGGCTTCCAACCTCAGCCTGCCTGCTCTGGCTCATCAGCGGAACACTGAGGCAGTCAAGCTTCTGTGAATTAATGAAGGTTACAGACGACAGGACTCACAGATGTCAAAAATCTGTGCCACTGGCCTTTAAAAAGTAATTCTGAGCACAGTGAATTTCAGTGTCAGTCTCCACTCCATCTTATTTACATTATATTTTCAGAAAAAAGAGCATGCAACTCATTTGTGATTGAAAGGATCTCTATTATACCACATTTAAGAAATCGCAGTGTGCCTAATGAAATATAAAAACAAGTTTTGGTTTAAATTCCTACATAATGCTTAATGAATCTCAGCTACGAAAAGGCACAAGGCTAAGAT